TTGTTTTGTATTAGCAGAGTTCATTTTGTTGTTTTTTCTTGTCGATTGTTCTGATAGTAGAGAAATACTTAAAGTTATGAGTATTACTGACTTGTTTGATGAAAACTCTTATTAACGGAGAGAGATTTTGAGGAATGGATAAAATTTCATGAAACATTTTGCATAAAGTTCCATGAAAACATGTTCATTTGTTAAGGTCTGAAATACATTAATTCATTTATTTGCTGCTTTGAAAGTTCAAAATTCGATTTCGTTTAGGTCAGAATCTTAATGAAAACAATTATTTGAATGTTCGCTTTGATGATGGAAAGTGCGATTTCATAAAGTGGATTTTTTTCAAGAAACTTTCATATCTGTCGTTTTTCTTCAGTGAAATGCACTCATTGTTAGATCTGTTATAGGCATCGTTATCAAGCGCCACATTATTGGCCACAACTTTATTGTTGACAATGCCAATGACTCGAACTGCTGGCAAATGGGTTTATTTCCTTTGGGTACGATTCTGCTCACTCCTTTCATTCTTTATTATTATCAATCTTCTGATTATTATTACTATGAGTGTCATTTTTAAAAGTAATGCTATTATTATCATTGCACACGAGTTCCATCTGAACTTTAGGTGGATAATCAGCTAAGACTAATATTACTGTGTCATTGCCGTTGGTAATGTTCATTCGAATAATTACAGATGAACTTGATGTTTATCTGCTTGGCTGCCACGCACGCACTGTTCATAACAGCTTCAGTGAGATGTTTTGGTACTAAACACAAGTCCACTAATTATGGATGTCTTATTTTATCAACAGTTCGTTATTTCTTATTGATTCTATTCCACATGTTCATTAGGCTATTTGAAACTCAATAAAATCAAGATATACCAACATTCGAAGTTAACCACCATTAGTAATCACATTTTCAACGATAGACAAGTGCGAGAATTTATCATGAATTTCATAATATTCTGATGTATGAAATGAATATTCATTCATTCATTCGTCAGTTATTCAATTATTCAAAAAATCGATCTTTTGTGATGAACAATTGATCAGTAGCTGATTGATTATTGATGATTTATCGAGCAATGTCATTTCAGACATTAAGTGCAATTGCGTTGGCGTACGGATGTGAGCATCTACTTTCGTACCTGGGCTATGATCTCTTCTTCATGATCGCTGCTGCGTTTCCGTTCACCGGTTCGTGCTAATGTTCTAATTGGAAGCGCTACTTTTCAGTAGGATTGATTGCTAGATTTAAGATAGCGCTGCTATCTGTCAAGAAATCGTCAAACACATGCACTATGTACTGACCAAAAAATGATTGTCGCACAAGCGATTTTTTGTCGTTTGCGAGGATTATGGGCACTTTTGAATATTCCAATAGCATCACAATCATTTTTCGAAATTGCTCCAATTAATAATGCCTTCTCACCTCAACACACCTAAAAATGGACAGGCAATTGATATGCCAAAAAATGTGAAGTTATCAAGAGTACTTTTTCACTATCGAATGCGTTTTGAATTGTGCAGAAAAAATTTCCGAATCGATCAACACTATCTTTGAGAAGTTACACTTTGCCAGTAGTTAGTAATCTTATTTTGAGTTGTTCAATCGTCCAACCACTGAGTTCAACTGTCCGTAATATCCAGCGTTTGAATTCATTATGCATAATAATATCAGTTCATAAACAGTACTGATTTCAGCCTTCTTAATAACCGCAGTGATACACTGGACACCTC